CGGATGTACCTTTAAACCTAAAATATCGAGAGAGAACTACTTTCCTTTGTGATGGTATGTAAACGCGACAGATTTTTTCAGAATCTCCGTATCCGCAGAATTGTCCCGTTATAGCCCTTGCATCTAGTTTTGTTCCAGCTGGTCATGCTTCAACGGGTATGTGTATGAACATGGTTTCACCGAAGGATCGGAGGTGCCCAATGAAGGGTTTCTTGCCGGTAAGTGCTTCGTATGGTGTCATATTCGGGAGTGATTTGTGCGGGAGACGGTTTTTTGACGTGTACCATGGTGTTGATCGCTTCTGCCCATAGATTTTTCGGGAGGTTGTGGTCGAGCAAGGCGGATCGTGCCATTGTTGCTATAGTCCTGTTAAAGCGTTCTGCTGTTCCATTTGACTCGTGAGAGTAAGGTACAGTGAATTCATGCTTTATGCCTTTGGAGGCAAAGAATTGTTGAAGGTCATTGGAGATGTACTCGCCACCGTTGTCGCTTCGAAACCGTTTAACCGTTTTGTCCAATTGATTTTCCATGTATGCGATATATCGTTCCGTGGCAGCTGCTGCATCTGACTTCTTTTTAAGGAAGTAGAGGTGACCGTACCTAGAGTAATCGTCGATGAAGGTGATATAGTAACTAAAACCGCCCAGAGAAGGAGTCGAGAACTTGCCGCTCAGATCTGAGTGTATTAGTTCCAGTGGTTGTTTGGATTGTGGTTCGGTGAGGGGAGCGAGGTGAGACTTGGTTGATTTGGCGAGTTCACATGTGTTGCATGTTTCCATGTGACCAGATGTGGGGAGAGACTTGGGGTCGGCGACCATGGTGCGAAGCCGTGAGAGTGAGGAAGCGGGGAGATGTCCGAGCCGTTGGTGCCAGTCATAGAAGCTGGTGGCGGCAGAGAGGTGTGCGCAGGGTTCCTTGGTTTCGAAAATGTAAAGGCCAGTACTATTTGCGTTAGCGATCCCGATGATTTCCTTGCTGTTTGGTTTGTAGATGGTAAAGCCGTCTTCCATCCCAGTTGTGGTGAATCCCTTTTTAGCGATGCAAGACCAAGACATCAGGTTGGTATTGCCTAGTTCGGGATTAAGAATACGTTCTGCAGAGTGATCAGGCCATGTGATCCGTTGATGGTGACGTTGCCAATTCCGGTTATCTGGAGTTTTCGACCTCCTCCAACAGTAACTGTTCCAGTATGGGGAGTGGGGTCGGTAACCAGCGTTCCGGTCATGTGGTTGGTTGCACCAGGGTCGAAGATCCATGCCTTGTTGTCGGTGGTGGAAGGTCCTGCAATGAAGCCAAAGTAGTCTTCCATGGTAATGTCCGAGGTGTCATCTGAGAAGTTGTTGAGGTCGAAGTCAACCGGCATTGTGAATACATCGGTTTCTTCGAGTGCGGGAAGGCCAGAAAGATCGGGGATCCAAGAGAGGTCGAGTTTTGTGTGAAATGCAGTACCAGATGCGACGTTGAGGTTGCCAGATGCAGCGGACTTCTCCTTGTCTCTGAAAGCTTTGAGTTTTCGGCAATTTTTGTGCGTGTGGCCTTTTGCATATTCTCCATTCTTGGTGCACCAGGTGCATGTGACGTCCCGATTTCCTGTATCGTTGTTACGTGGCCTCCTGACTCTGTTGTTGTTTCCATGTCCTGGGTTTCCTCGCCTGATTGTGTAGGCTTCTCCAGCCGCCAGTCCATCGTTGTTGCGCCGTGAGTCCAGATCCAACAGCTTTTCGTAGACGTCATCGAAGGTGACGTTGGGCTTGGTTTGCAGGTTGTCAACGACTGATTCGAGGGATTCGTGCCGGAGTGAGAGGAGTAGGAAGGATGCCTTCGCTTCTGAGACAGATGCGAGTTGGTGAAGGTGGTAACCGAGTGGGTCTTTGGTCTTGTCCGTAGAGTTACTAGTTCTAGTGAGGAGAGATGACCAAAGAGTGTTGAACTGGGTTAGATGTTCCTTGATACCCTTGTCGGGTGTGTACTGTAGTGTGACGACATTGGCGAGGAGCGAGTGGAGGGACGCGACGGTTTTCCGATCGAATCTGTCCTCGAGTTGATTCCAGAGGTGATGAGCGGTGTCGGCCGGTGTCAGCGTGAGAATGACTTCGAATTCGATGTTAGATTGAAGGAATACAACTCCTAGGTTGTCCTTTTTGTCCCAGTCGCTGATTTCTTCGGCGTTGTCGGAGGTTTCTTCTTCGTCTTCTTCAGCTTCAGCTACGCTTCCTGATGCTTGTGGTGCCGTGGTAGGTACAGTAGTGGTTGTCAACACGGGACGCTTGCTCGAACCATTGACCAAGTTCCACAGATCGTGAACTTTCAACATGCGGGTAGCAAGGTCCCTCCATACAGTGTAATGGCCTTGACCATCCAGCTTGCATGGGAGTGCGGGAATTTTGATGCTCCTCTCAGACATGATTGAAAGTGAAACGAGAAAGTGTACTTTGTGGTAAAAATGGTGAAGAGTGTGTAAGCGTGAGTGGTCTCCGGGCTCATAACCTAGAGAAAGTATGTAGGAGAAGTAAAGTAATTGATCGTGTTGCTTGTTGCTAGCTAAGGGGGAATGCCCCGTATTTATACTAATGAAAGGTAGTACAAAAGAAATACAATGAGTCATAGACGTGTGAGTAAATAGAATGACTAATAGGAAAGTGAGTCATACGCCGATGACAAATACTATAATGAAATGGTGAGAATCTTCCAGAACTATGAAACGTGCCGAGCGCCCTATTTCAAGAAAGTCATCAGTAAAGTCGTATTTATTGCATTTAACACGGAAAAGGCATTACTAAACTCGTCGGTAATGGGACAGGAATGCTTTTAACACAAAGTAGGTCGGTTATTGCATCAAATAATGTGTATCTCGCAACTTTTTGTATTGGAAACGTCAAAATTGATGCATTTCCACTCCTAGTAGAGTGCGGACTGCATGAACTACCGAAAATAAAATTGTTTATTATGATGTTTATGATAAATGAATCAATCTCAATCCTTCAGCAGCGCAAGGGGTATAAGACAAGACATTTTTAATATTATTCCGGTTTTCTCCAACAGTAGTAATACATATTGTTTATGAACTCTAGCCCGAGAGCGATGTACCTCAACCTAGTAAGAAAGCGACCTAGCTAGGCGACACTCTAAGAACCTTGGCCTGGTCCCTTATAATGCAGTCCATACATAGTCTGACTACAGTTGGACTACGGACCCAGGGCGCCAGGACGACAGTCCTCCAGTCCTGTTAATCAGTCCAGTCCCAGACAGGACGGGACTGTTGGCGAGGTCACCGTCACCGTCCAAGTCCTTAGCCTTGGTAGTGTTCCCTGGCTTCTACAGCCCATCGTCCTATAGCTCCACGTAAGATTGAACCTTAAATTGTTGGATATAAATAATAATAAACAATAATACATTCGGAAGACTTTGACTTTCTTGTTTGACTCGCTTACATCCTATAACACAGGGGCAGATCGAGCCATTACTTATACAAAAATATTGTGTCTAAAACGGTCTACATATGACTACATATTGATATATATACTGACACTCATATGAGAATCAGGACAATTCCAACATAAATTACACTAGTGAAAGTGAGTGATATCTTGTGATCCGGCCACGGACCCTCACGAACACACAGCCCGTCACAAACACCTTGATCTTCTACAAACGCAATGCCCGGGCACCTCAAGAACACCGCGTCACTTCAAGGGCACTCTGGTATGAATCAGGGTTCGCAGATAGTCTGGTTCTTTCACGAACATTCGTGAAAAGCCAGAGTTCGTGATCGGGCGTTAACAGCACCACATTGACTGTGTGTGGACCAGGGCCGACACCAGGGCTCGACTCAGCCAGGGATTTTCGGTTCTTTCATAGCTGCAGGAAGGGGTGTGCTCTGTGAGGGTTTGTCCAGAACTGGCGGTTGCCAGAAGTGGTCTTGGGTGATTCCACGGCATGTAGCGAGTCGGAGACGGAGTCGGCCAGAGGTCATAACCGTTTTACTCTAGCCCTCTTAGGTATAAACCCTTCAGGCACCCCGCTCACATGGGTGCACAGCTCAAACATCTATGATCTATGGCACCATTAATGACACCGTCATTGTCAACAATGGACCGAATCTATAATTACCGCGCCCGCCCGGCCATTCAGCCTGCTCGAATTACCATTTTCCAACGGCGAAAAGGGTCTGCCGATGTTTACAAGATCTCAATGGAGATATCCATAACCAATATGTAAGATTACCCACCAAGTGGCAGATTTTTACTGTAGATTCTCACTACATCAATGAACGGTTGTATGGCACTTCACGTAATTGAAGGCTCTCATGCCTATGTCGAGAAGCACTACAACCTCCACATGTGACCATCGATTCCTACCCCGCTTCTGGCAAAGTTTTCAAGTACTAGGGTATAGCGAAAAGTGATCAGAATCTGATAAGAAAAATACACGTATTCACCGCAGCATTCACTTATCAGATTCTGATCACTTACCCTCAACACCCGGTACAGCGCAGGGATATAAGTCCCGCGCCAAGACACACCAAAATCAACATTCAACCCCCTACCAATAACTACCTATAAATCTTTGAGGATATGTCCGCTCTCTGCTGTTCACCGCTGCTGCTGCTCGCTACCGCTGCCTCCTGTCAGCGAGGCCGTTGGTCGCCATGGCGATGGTTCTCATTATTCACAAGGTATATCATCGGGACCAGTTTTGAGCGGTGATGTGACTCAAAATCCGAATCAAATCCGAATCCACATCTAAATCGCGGTCCAAACCGCTCTATGGGTCCACAAAAGACCCGCGCGAGGCCCAACTAGAACGAGCCGTCGGACATATCAAGTCAAGGGACCTCTGCGCAACCTCCGGAGCATGAAGGGGACACAGAAGGTTTACATTCTCCGAGGATTGTGTCATCGTTAAGGTTGTTCAGATTTCAAAGTTCTCTCGCTGCTGCTAGCCTATTGTACAGAATATCGACCCAACCCAACCCAACTCAGCGGGCTCTCCTCAAAGTGTCAACCTCGGACAGGCCTTCTGATTTGCCAATAGGCCTGCTCTAAAGGTCCCAACGCAACCCAACACGACACACGTTCATTACCACTCACCCGAAAGCGACGGAGACTAAAACTATGTAAGTATATAAACGTAAACACTAAACGTGAGACGTAAGGTAATGGGCCTCGATTAACGCCGGCCCCCACAAATACTTAGCTCAATTCTGCGCGTTGGGGTCCTGAAACCATGCACCGCAAGCCGAAAGATGCTCATACCCTGTGTGTACTGCCATGGCGTGGGGTGCGCACGTGGTGTTGCACCGATTGCAGATCCTTTTGGTGGGGACCGGTAGTACCGTGAAACCCTTTTCAATCAAAAACTGTCGTAAGACGGCTTGTGTTTCAGGCGTCGGGGTAATGTGGTCCGGGACGCCGTCACGGGGGTCTTGGACAGGCGATCCAGCGCGAGGTGAGAGTGAGGATGGTGGAGAGACGGCACGGTAGTTGGATGGTGCACGGATGGTACGGTAGGTAGCCGGTGGTGGCGAATCTTTACCGAGGCGCAGCGGTCGACGACAGTAACATAGGATTTCCTGGCACTTCTGGACGGTGGTAACCCCCAGAAGTTCACAGTCTATCAAGGTGCGTGACGCATCACGTGATCCAGCCATAACCCTAAGAATCTTTGCACAAGCCTGGGAGAAGCGGGCGTTTTCTTCGGGGTCCTTCGAGTGGACCCTGCCGCATGCGCAAGAACCGGATAGTCTTGCCCCTTGTGGGCCACGGACGGTACCTGCTCCTTGTCCGAGGCGGGTGACAGGTGACGGGAGGTCCTTGGACGTGGGAGTCCTAGGACCAGCAGAGACGAAGGGAGCGGGGCAGACGTGTTTCGAGAGCTTGAGGAACTTCTCCTCGGTAAAGTCGTCCGGCAACCAGGCGGGCCAAGATTTGACGGGTTTGGCGCCCCGGAGACGGTCGGTGATGGTGGCCAGGAGCTTGCGGGAGTTTACCCCAGCGAGTTCGGGGAGCGCTAGTAGACCTTCGACGATTTCCAGGCCCCCCCTAGTGACCTCAATGAATCCGGACCAATCGAGGCGGCTTTCGTCGGTCAAGCCTTGTTCCTCGAGTTCTCCTCGGACTTTGTTGGCGATACCGATGCCAGCGTTGCCCCAGTCGAGGAGTTTGTCTCGTGCGACACCCGGTGCGAGTAGGGAGATTTCCCTAAGTGTATCTACGGATTTGTGGACCGCCCTCTTGCCTTCGTTCAAGTTCTTCTTGGCCGGCTGGCGGCTCCCCCCTCCAGGGTCCTTGGCGGACAACGGGTATGTCGTGGCGAGTGACGGCGGTAAGGAGGATCCGGGGGCGAGGTTGATCTCCTGATTATCCTTCCTCGCACGCTCTCGCTGCCTCTCCCTCTTCAGTTGCCGCTTCGACTTCGTCGCCCCAACATCCCCAGCCGGTCCTCCCAGGTTACTCGAAATACCGCCCCCCGATTCAAACATATGGCTAAATTCAGGATCATCTTCCATATCCCTCAACCCCATCGCAATGATCATATCCATCTCCGGATCACTACTTGGCGTAAAGTTATACTGCTCCGCCCACTGCGCAGCAGCAGCCTCTTTCAACTCACTGCGCCCTCCAGCTTCATACCTTTCCCTGTTCCTCTTAACCCATTCACTTTCAGGGTCTATAAGCAAAACTCAATTAACAAACTCTCCCAGGCTAAGTCAACAGTGGTACCCGTCGCTATGCCTTACTTACCTTTATGAACATCATTCTCCCCCGAATTACCCGTGTCGGCCCTCCGCATTGCATCCAAGATCTCATTTCCTTCCGCAAGATCCTCACGCGTCATGCCTAAGCCATAAGAAGCCTGGAAATTGGCGCGACTACCCCAGCCGTCTTTCGCGATTTTTCTTCTGCTATCGGCCATAGAAAGCAATAACGTCTATCCCGAGTATGAAAATATAAAAACAAGTTAGCATTACCTTTTGAAATATAAAGGTACCCACTAAAGAAAGAATTACCTTAGTTTCGGGTTCGGGTTCGGTCTGTTTGATCCTTGTCGGGGGATGTAAAGATGATGGCGCTTCCGGGACGCGGAAAGGTAGGGTAATCTTCACTTTGGCGGGTGGCCTGAATTTCAAGGGTTAGGGGAAATGTCCTGTATTTACTAACCGTCAATTCTGGCAATTGACACTTCGCCACTCTCCAAAGTGGCATCCAGAGGTGTCAATTTTGGGTGGGTCGTTTGCCAGGCTGTGAAATACCTCAAAAGGACACCAAATACACTTAGAGGACACCACGGTAGTAATCATCCTGTTGTTGCGGCTTGCGCATTTAATATCCCTAGGGAGGGGAAATGTCAATTTTGCGTCAATTTCGAAGTGTCAATTGTCGAAAACGACACTTAGTAAATACGCTCTATTACCAGGGATTAACACCAACTAAACCCTAACCATAGCAAATGCCGGATGAGTTATTTGCGTATGGCTTGGGGGTTTCGTTCGTTGGCTGAGGTCCAGGGAAACCCTTCAATAGCGAGTGATATGTTGTGGTTGACTACTCCCTACTGTACTGGGCGTGCACGTTAAATACCGAGACGCTTTGCACTATTGGTTGATGTCGTGAGGCGCAGCGAGTGGCGGGCTAATGATAGTTGACGCCGAGCGACGCAGATCGATGCCGAGCTAGAAATTTATCTGGAGGAAAGAAATTCGGAGACACCTACCTGAGATCGCAGCCACACCTGTTCACGGGTAGGTGTTCATGTTCATGAACAGGTGTTCCCGCCCACGAACACCTTCAATTGTCTATGTAATACCTAGTAGCCTGCCCGCCAGCAGCAATGACTGCTTCTAGTTTTCTGGGCATGCTCCTTATAAGTCTATCTAGTCTATCTACAATAATATTATCCCAAGTATTCCTGATTATAATCTTTAAAACCTCTATAACTTGTATTAGCCCTATAGTTTCCCCCAATTCAGTTTCTATATCTGCTCGGAGAGCTTCGATGAGATTGAGATCAGGTGATTGAGGAGGCTATTCAACTCTCTCTATCTGATTGATTTCTCTGCCAGCAATAGCAATTCATTTATGCACGGGTGCATTGTCCTCTATTATCTGTGTCTAACCATATTTTTTGAAGGTTTGATGTCAGGAAGGTGTAAAATGGGTGTAGTATGTAATTTCTGTAAATTTTTGAAATTGATGGTGATGCCAGCATGAGTGAAAACTAGCTCTGTCTTTATCTCTCGAAAGAAAGCACCCCATATCATCGTGCGGTTCCTACCTGACTCCCATGTTGTGTCTATACAGTCAGAGTTATATTTTTCTTTTGGTATACGAGTAACCAAAAATAGCTGGCCAAAGCCTGCTGTGATGAAAGTAGATTCGTCTGTTTAAACAATCTAGAACTAGTCCTCATATGTCGAGTGTGATCTAGCTTGTCACTATTGAACCATTTTGATTAAATTTGATGCTCTTATACTCAACTTTTACAAACCATACGTGGGCCTAATCCTAAAACTAGGGAACGTATCCATTATGCGAAAAGGAAATAGTCCTCATCGAATTCTGAGGGGGGTTTTATGTTATTAGTTATCGGTTGTCAGTTCCTTGTAATATAAGAGTCTTTTAATTTTCTTTGTCTTAATTTTCCTTTCCTCTCTACACGACATCTTGTCTTACATTCTGGGGGATTACTTTGGGGAATTTACTTCGCTTCAATTCAAACTCTATCTAGAACCATCTTACGTCTGCTGTCCCCAATGACTATTTGTTCTCTATGTACTCTTTACCCTCCCCATGCCAATGCAATGAACCTTGGGCTAGGTATAGATATAGTGTTTGAGAGTTATCGAGAGGGCTCGTACCAGGATAAAGGCAGCGGTGCACGAAAATGTATGAAGGATGACTCGTACGAGTATGAGGATGATAGCGGAGACAACAAGTGTCATTACAATCGAAGAGGGGACACCGGAGGTAATGTGTGTAACAAGTCGTATGCTGAAGGTAGAGAGTACCTAGTGGAGATCGATGATGATAGGCATAGTCCTTTAGGGTAGCAGACGTAACGTGGATTTTAGGTAATGTATGTATTGAAGTGAAATAAATCCCTCAAAGTTCTAACCCAGAAAAATAGAGAAGATGCTGTATAGGGAAGAAGGGAAAGATAGACAAAGAGGGGTAATAGAGTTTTATATAACAAGGGAGATGACAACCGATCTCAAGTGGGTGTATAGTGGGTGTTCCGCAGGGTACGTGGGTGTCATAGAAACTACTCGAGTTAGTGTACAACGATGGTTGTAAGAGAACCTAGTGGTTGATCGGGGTCACTGAGGTAGAAGAGTGGCAGTGCAGAGGTCCTCTTATAGGAGGAGGGGGAGTAGTACTTTCTATATGAATAGAGGGCGTAAATACAGAAAATAGATAGATAGATATTTTGTTACTCGGCTAGAAGCACATAGCTTATTGCCAGAGTAAAAGACTTACAAGAACAAACAAACAACATTGAAAAGGAGAAGACAAAGGAAAGCGAAAGTGCAACTAACTACAGTTACGATACAGATAGATGCGAACACGAAGGAACGCGAGACGGAAATGATATAGGTAAGCAGAATCGAACCGACAGAGTAAGAAACCTTCAAGTAGTAAAATAATCTAAACATTTCTCCCAATTACAACCTTGTCTAAACCTGTCGTCGCGAAGCGATGTGGTTCATTTGCGAGTATACGGAACCTGCTCCCTGTTCTTCAAAGAGTCAGCTCAGCACTAGGTTGATCTGATTGCGTTGGGAGTATATCCGTAGTCATGGTCTCCTTGACTGTCGGGCCGGCCAACAGCAGAACGAGTTGTGAAAGCGAAAGGGGTGTGTTGAATAGTGTAGCCTGCGAGTGTGCTTGTCAGGCAGCAGGGTGTTGAGGGTGTTAAGCGAGAGCCGCAACCTGTTGATGGTCTTTACAATGGCGACCTTCGAACTCGATTTCCGTGATTGAAGAGGTGGCACTGGTTGTTGTACCAGGCTGAGTGGGGAGGCGTGAGCGGGCAAGCCGACTCGGTTAAATGGATTGACTAATTCGGGCCATAAAGCGTAGTAAGGTCCAATGAATGGACCTCTTCTAGAGTGAGGAATGAATGTTTGGCAACCGTAAAGTCGCTAACATAATGGGTTACTGTAGGCTTTGGCAATAGGGCTGCGCTGGACTCCAGACTATTGACAGAGTCTCGATACGACGTAGTGAGGGGTAGCCTCGAGGGGCTTGACATTTTGATGTCCCATTCAGGGCGTTGACGGGGTTGAGGAGGGAGTGAGAAGAAGGATGCATCCTCGTAAGGGGCTTCAACTCGGTATATAGGGGACGTTTTGCTCAAAGCATGAAGCAATTCGACAATCCGGATATCGAAACGGCAGGAGTCAGGCAGCTCCAAGTAGTCGGGCGAGGGATAGGAGGCATTGCGTATCAAAGGGAAGAAGAGAAAGGGAACAGAAAGCGAGGAGGAAGCCATTCTAATATATACAAGGAAATCCCAGCGATGACAAATCATTAGTGACTCATACCCTTGCAACCGATGAAAACCAAAAGAACCTCATAGAACCTTTCTGACTAATCGAAACCTTCGTAATCCAGCTTATTAAAAAATTGATCCATGAAACCCCCGACTAAAACACTCCCTAGACAACAAATCCAGGAGATATAGAATGAGAATCCTATTTTCCCTAGCACACAAACCAAACAACGAAACCCTTATGAGCCCAGTACTACTTAATGGAGCCAATATCAAAGGCACAGGACTCCACCGCATTACATCCCTCATGCTCCCGTTTCAGGAGTTAGGAAACAGAAGAGAATGATGAATACAAATCACCTACTGACTAAATGAATGCTAGAGGAATTAAACTCCGAGTCCTACCCCACCATTAACTTCCAACACCCCGGCAACCTGAAACCAAACCCCAAGATGTCAAAACTCCCCTTTTTGAAAGTGAAACTCGTATACAGAATCCGATGTTACTCTATTAGGATAGACAGAAATTCAGCATACACCGAACCAGAAATATGCTTATGTGGGATTGAACAATCTGCAAAACACACCCTCTTCGAGTACCAACAATTGTACCAAATCCGAATACAAGTTATTGACAAAATACCAGGCACAGCCATATTGGAAAACTGGATGGTCACAAACCTAAATATCGACCTAATACTGCAATTCCCAAAAAAACAAAACTACTTAACTTCTACGAACTGGATTAAGGAGAGGAAAATTAGTTTTCTTTCAGTTGGCTTCCTTGTTCCTATTTTTCCTATCTGACTTTTCATTTATTTTGTGTCTCCTCTATGTTCCTTTTGTTTTTCCTTCTGTTTTGTTTGTTTGTTTATTTTGACGGAAGTTGGCGTGCGATAAGAGTTGTACCTTAAAGTAATATAAAAACTATCTATTCATCTCTCTATCCATCTCATATTATAATGTGAGTTATCACTTTGTGGGATTTACTTCAATTCACTACACACTTTATTTCAAGCCACATTACGTCTGCTGCCCACAATGACTATCTCTATCATCATCGCTGTTCTCTAAGTATGCTTTACCCTCGACATTCCACTTGTGATATACATCACCCTGGCTGTCTCTCCTCTGGTTGTAACGACTCGTGCTGTGTAAGGTGTCGTCCTCGTCATAGTACAAGGCACCCTTCTCACCCTCGCATGCCCCGCTGTCCTCGTCCTACTACACGCGCATCCGGAAAGTCTTGGCACCCACACAAAATCTGTTAAACAGGTCTACGTACGCCCGCAACATAGCTCCTCCACATGGGACATGGCTCCTCCACACACCCAAGCTATTCGCTACGATCGGAATGGAGACAGAGCTGCCCTAGCAGACTATGGTTTAGGTTATAAAAAGATTGCGAAGCAAATCCGCATTAATCCTTCAACTGTTCAAAATGTAGACAAAAGGTATCGGGAGCGGGGTCATGTTCATGATGCACCCCGTTCTGGAACGTCAACTAAGATCACCAAAACAATCCGGAAGAAAATAGAAGCAGTGGTAGAGGATAATCCAAGGGCATCTCTACGTCAAATTACCAACTTAGTCTCTGACTTACATTTTGATCATACTACAGTCGATAAAGTCATCAAACAGTAAGGGTTTATATTGACAGTCCCGAGAAAGAAACCCTTTTTAAAGTCAACTCAGAAGGAAAAGAGGTTAGAATGATGTCGGAGAAGGAGAAGATGGAGAAAGAGAGAGTGGTGGAAGATGAGATAGCTAGATGAAGCTAAGGTCGAATATACAGCCCATCAGCCTGGGAGACGGATTAGAATCAAGCCTGGACAGGAGCTTAATGATAAGAATTTAGCTCCTAGTTTCCGATCTGGACGAGTCTCTGTAGGATGCTGGGCTGCATATATTCAGGAAAAGAGGACACAATTGGTATGGGTTCGGCAGCGGACAGCAAAAGAGAGAGTATCAAAAAGGGATAGATTGGGTTTAAATTCGGTTCAATATGCTACAGAAATCAACAAACCCTATCTCTTGCCTTTTATTCAGTCTCTAAACCTCCCTATCGACAGTTTAAAAGTGGTAGAAGATAATGCCCGTTACCATGCTGGTGCACTCAATAGTGCTATTCAGTCCAGATATGGGATCAAGAAATTACCTCTACCTCCCAACTCCCCAGACCTCAATCCTATCGAAAATGCTTGGCATATTTCAAAGGCAAAGCTCCAAAAAAGGTTCACCAATAATGATAGAAGACCTCATAATGGAGAGGAAATTTGGAGAGCGATGCAGGAGGAGTGGGACACTATAGATCAGAAGATATTAGATAAGCTGCTGGACCAGATGCCAAAAAGAATTGAGGCTGTAATCACTGCAGAGGGCGGTCATACAAAGTGGTAATAAATTCTTTAAAATGTATCTATCTATCAATAAATTACCTGCGGTAGTTGCTGTTGTCCACCCGTTAATATCACAGTTCGAACTCGGCCTCGAAATGATCACTCGGGGTGCCAAGACTTTTCGGACGTGAGTGTACAAGCACTCTCAATGTCCCTAAATCTCCACAGCTATGCCTTGCCCATGATTCCTTACACTCACCTATTCACTTATATTAGTTTGAATTATTATAAAAGACCTAGTGGTAGTACTTCTCACAATGGAAATATTTATGGGAGCCAATAGATGCCATGACATCCCGTAAAGTTTTGACGGAACCGGCATATCCCACTTCTTTAATCATAGCCTCCCAAGGTAGACGTCTTGTCCTTTTATCCCTTGTAACAAACTCTCGTAGTCTTTCTTTTTCTGCATCAAATATAAATGGTCTGCCCTACCTTACTCTATTGGATGGAGTACCATTTTCTCTTGCCCGTCTAAAAATTCCTTGACAGGTCCTGAAATCTATTTCCATTATCCTCCCTATCTCTCTCCAGCTCTTCCCTATCTCTCTCAACGTGATAATCCTGACCCTTTCATCCCTCGAAGTCTCTTTGTTCTGGGTGTTTTCATGATGATCAGATCGCCTTCCTTTCTGTCTCATGACGCGTCGAACGGCGTCTCAACGCGTCGAACGGGGCCTTTCCGGTGTTGAGCACGGTCTTGCCAGGTCGAACGGGGTGTTCACAGTGTCAAACAGGGTCGAACGGGTCTTAACGCATCCAGCAGGGTCGAAGTTCGTTGAACGGGGTGTTCACGGCGTCGAACAGTGTCGAACGGGTGTCAATGATATCAGCGGGTGCAAAAGTTCACAGCTTGAAAGAGTTCAGAACAAAGACTTCGACGTGGCAGGGCGGTGTCTGAATATCAGCCAATCATGACTTGCAGTACAATTGGCCAATGACTCGAGCGTCTCCAGACTTACCCTTAACGCCCGGTACAATTTCGAAAGGATAATTTACCTGTCCTGGGCGTTGAAGTGCAAGAATTTGGCTGTCCCGAAATAATGCTCTGTTTAATCTTCATAGGAGATGGCTACAAAAAAATAGTGTGCCAGGAGAGATGAATTATCTTTACCCTCAGTAAGTGATAACGCTTACTGTTTCGCAGAATAAAAGGGTAAAATTCAGTATGGGTTGAACCTGAACACATATATATATTACGTTCCATACACTTTATCCACTACACTACAAGTTAGATATAGCTACCATTAGAAGGCAGCGATTTTATAAAGGTGGGGAGGTTTATCTTTGCCTGAAGATAATATTATTTACACTAATTATATTAGGAGGCCTGAGCCGGTATTTAAGCTTTACCTTCCTCCTGGGATAGTTCTTCAGAAATGCCTCAAAATGGTCGATATTACACTATTTGACCCCGGGTTTACCTCTGCGACAGGTTACTTACCTGTAAACATTTAAAGGTTTGTACCGTAGGGGGGTGATGGTGTAGAGGGAGCGCTCAAGGTTTCCAGTCGGGGATTACAGCGACGAAATTCGGGGGAATAATTGATTTCGCGTGGAGGTGTTGGCTCGAGTGATCTCGTATGATTGGGTGTAGTTGGACCGTGAGGCTTGCCAGTGCCTCATTATTAGGACTAGTGGTTCAGCGACAGCGTTGTTTTCTGCGGGGGGGTTTGTCTTCCAGTCAGTGACTGGTGGAGGGCTGTTCACGGTGGGAGGTCTTAGCGCGAGTAATATTTTAAAGTGACAGAGCGAAGTAAGAACGCTAGGATTTTTGGGGGGTTTAATTCATTAATTCCATGCAACCTACAGTTGTGGCAAGAACGCTAGGAGTGAAGACTGATATAGGAATAGGGACGAGACAGGCAAATAGTTTTGACAAAATAATAGAAACCGTTATAGGGAGCTAAAAACGGGATTGATTTCATTATCTTCATTTTGTTTAGTTATTCTCATTTCATTTCATGTATATGTGGTATGTCATCTTGTTATAATATAGCCTTCGTGCTGCATTCAATTAATGAGTTACAGTCAACCAATCAATCAATTCTCCGCCCAATGATAAACGATTTAGTCTTGGCAAGCTTAATTGCCCCGCACTTGTGAAGTCTCCGGTAATGGGATATTGCTGGCTAGGCTTCCAGATATCTCCACTCACCGATACGACAAAGCCCAAGTATTCAAACATGGACGCCGCTGCGTCTATTATCGGTCTGATAGCTGTTGGCACAAAGATTTACGGGATGCTAAACAATTTCGTCACAACCTACAAAGAGGCTCCTGAAATCGCCAAAACCATACTCGAAGAAGTCCGAGACTTCCGGTATGCTCTGGAGAGGCTTCGGCCCTACGTCGAACAGGTGTCACCGATTACTCCTCTGGGGGCAGCTGCTACTGATGTGTATCAGCTCTCTCTTACATTGGCATCTTGCGTGTCAACCTTCTCACAGGTTGAAAAGGCCCTGGATAGATTGATGCCAATAGGGAATGAGAAGAACTACATCGCTCGAATTCGTTGGACTTTAGCTAGTGCTGATATTGGTGTGCTTCTCGGGCGTATTCAACAGCATAAGGCGAGTTTATCTTTACTCCTAGCGATATGGATGAGGTAAGCAACTCTACCAGCCTGAAAGCAATACAGCCTAATCACAGTTATATATAGTGAGAGTTCGTCACAAACCGAAGCCTCTCTGGACTCTCTGAATGATGTTTTAAGGGAGCTTCTGCTCCTTAATGAACAGAAGAAAGCGGTAGAATTGGTTGCCGATGGTGGAGATATCTCGTCTACGAATACTCTGGTCTCCACAGAGCCGGAGGCCGGCCGGGAGTCAATGCTCTCGACAACAGATGTGGAAACTAGCTCAATCACCTCAATATCAACTTATTCATTCAGGTCGCGTCTTCTTACATCTCGGCCCTACAGACGTATCGCTCTCTTTGACTCTGGGAACTCGGAATTTTCGATTGCAACGTCGCAACGCCGCGGGGGGAGCTGGTCGACCCTACGCTCAATAGGCTCCAATCACTCGGTATTCTCACTCCCGGCAACACTTCGCTCAATCATCACAAGATCGACTCAGCCATCCATATCTTCACTCTCGTCACAACTTCTGAAATCTAGGCCCTACCAACATAACGTTATCTCTAGTGACTCTGGGAGCTCAATGCTTTCGGTAGCAACGTCGCAACGCCGTGTGAAGAAATGGTCGACCATGCTCTCAATAAAATCCAATCAGTCGATATTCTCATTCCCCTTCACCAACTTTAATTTCTCGTGCATATCCATTATGGCGGACGGGAATCCATCTCGGATACCTATTCCTATCGATGTTAGTTTGCTGTACAAGCACGAGTGGTATACCCTATCGCCATCGTCATCTCGATCTATGACGGAGGTATGGGAGGATGTACAGAAAGAGTCTCCTATCCCAGACAAGAGTTATGCTAGTAGCCCAGAGATCAGTCTCCATGATATGAAGGCGATGACGGCGCTTATCACCACGGGTGCATATCTTGACGGTCCATTTCTGTCTTTCTGCGCAAGAAGAAATATAGGGCTAGCTCATATCATAATAGACAGGGCATACGGCCCTGGCTTAAATGATAAAGGGGTCGATCCCGTCTTGATCGCTGCACTGAGGGCCGGTGAATGGGGTGTAGCTCACGATCTCTTCGATAAGCAGATGATACCAGGGGATGGCTCAATGAGCCCCAATTGGCGGGCAAATGCGCTCGACTACGCAACCAAGGAATCACTCATGAAAATTCTATGTGCCCAACTCGTTGGTAGCTCAGACTTTAAGAGTAACGGTGTTATTCCGCTCGCGCAGGCCGTCAATAGTCGGGATTCTACGGGTGAAACCGCTTTGAGATTCGCTTGTAGAAGCAGTAATGTCAATCTCGTCAAGTTCCTTATAGCCAATGATGCTGATCCCGGGGTAATCTTTCAGTCGGGCAACAGCCCGATGCAGCAATCGTCGTTATGGCCACGCCAGCGCTCATTGATAAAGGCGCTATTAGATGGCGGGGCAGCCCTCGAGAGTAAGAATGCTGAAGGCCGTACTCTTCTCCTGGAATTTATCAGGTCCCAAGAGGGGGAACTATCCGGCTCAGACCTGGCACTCTTGAACCTCTTGCTCGATACTGTGGCATTTCTTACGAGCACTGACACGGAGGGGAATAATGCCCTGCTTAGTGCGATAGAGTGCGGCAAACTCAGTATTGTACAACGACTGCTTGAGGCTGGTGCGGACGTAGAGGCCAGGAATACGATATCGGGCAAAAGTGCACTTCACCAAGCCGTTCGTTGTGATAATCCCACGATTGTAAAGATCCTCCTCGAAAGAAAGGCTCTTGTCAATACCTTCGATAACAGTGGTCGCACCCCGCTACATGATGCCTGTGTCTCGTTTTGCGATATGGAAAACCATCTGGAAATCATCACCTATTTGCTTCACCACTCCGCGTCAGTCGATAGTATTGATCAGAGCGGAAATACAGCTATCCACCACCTCTTTCGGACCGTGACCGAGGCCCACATACACTCAGGGTTGGTCGAGTTATTACTCGAAAGAGGGGCAGATATTCATAGACAAAATGTTCAGGGACAGAGCGCCATCTCATATCTAGGTGCCTCAAATCATATAGAGATAATGAAGCTTGTTGAAAGCGTGAAAGCTAAGTTTGGGAGAGAATAGCGGTAGAGAGTTGGCGAGTAGCCGGTCTTTGTATTGGTTAAGTTAAGGTGTGATGTGGCATATTTTGGAAATTTTAAATAGACAGTTACTTTTTTTAATGTTTGGAGCTGAAAAACACATGACCAAAGTTTCCAAACAATTCTGGGAGCGTAATCTAATTTTCTTTCCTCTTCTTAGAACTGACTATCCCCATCATGCGCAAACAGCATTCTTTCATTACTGCTTTGGTTTAGTACTCCCGTCAGCCATAGCAATGAAGGTGACACACGGTTGAATGCTAATGAAAGTACACAGCCAAAACTCCGTTACAAAATGCCACCCCGAACACAAAATATTTCGTGCAAATGGAGTTATGCCAAACCAAAATTCCGCTCCAATGTGTAATCAAACGGGCCTTAAGGCTACCAATTGGGTTATTGGTTCTTATTAAGAAATTACTCATACCAATGCAAGATGTTGGGTAGTTTTACTTGTGTTCTGCGTAGTCGTGTGCGCGAACTCCCTGATGTCATCTCATATGTAAGCTATAGTAAATTACCAGTCTTCGTTTTCCGAAATTCGGGGAACGCCTGGTCAAATGCCTACATTATTATCACAGAATGACAAGAAAACTACTAACGGTGATCACATGCGCTACCAGCAATGTAAATGAATCAAATGATTCATTTCCTTGGGACGTTTGTAGAAAAGATACCAAGACACATTTTCTTTGATGCATTTCCAGGGTGTTACGTCGTCATCCCAAAGTGTATTTCTAATTCCTTTTGCTATGCCGTTTCTTAACGTCTTTGCTCGAGCCATAAGTATCAAATTTGTATTTCCAGTTTTATGCCTTTTCTAATGCCTTTCCTTACTCTCGTACCCAGCCCATTTAATGAAATGCAGAAAGCTGCAACAGCATGTCCCTGTAAGCATGGAAGAAGACGGGTTGGAGACTAGTTTCCTTTTTTCAATTCAGCTTTTTAATGTTTTTTTTTAATGCTTTCCTCAGCCTGGACCGGACCAGAGGTGTCTTTGCGAATCACCATTTTGACGTGTTTTCTGATGTGTTATTTGATGTCTTTCCTCCGGCTGTGGATGGACAAGTAATATCAATTCCGATCTCTTTTCTAATGCTCTTATTAATGCTATTTTGCTGGTAGTACCTGTATCAGCAATGTCACTTCTTGTACGTTTTTTTAATGTTTTTATTTAATATCTTGTGTGCCTTACGGCTGCATTGAAAAGTCTTTACCGATCCTCCTTTCAATTCCTATTTCCGCGGTAGCGTGCCAAGAAATGGGGACAGGTGGTGTTTTTTCTGATACCACTCACTCAGGCTCTACTCGGAATGTAAATGAATTAAATGATTCATTGCGCATCAAAGCGAATTCGGTAAATAAATCAATTCATTCCCGTACCGGGAACGTCGCTAGTGAATGATACAACTTGAAAAGAATTCATTTAGAACCCGAAGTTGTGCATTTACAGAATGACGTTCGGTAATACATTAAAATATAGTTTTCTGTAACAGTTTCGTTCGAACTATCCATTAAAGTATCGTTTTTTTTTACACATTTACACTATATTACAGTTATATATGGATACAATTTAAATTATTCTGTTTTATTTGGCTTGAGGAGAATAGTCTACCAGAAGTGAATGCTGGCACTACAGACCATGAGGCCATTCCTCATCGAATTCCGTAATCCGCAAATGAAGCCTTTCGCTTGTCACAATCCCCAAACAATACCTTTCACTTGCCGCAATGTGTAAATTATTCCCTGTTCCGAACCTTATGTTGTTACAGCCTCACCAACATGTAACAGATTCATTACGCGAGAAGGAGCGAGTTATCAGGATTGTGATAGTCCAATGGTAGACAGGATTTTGAGGTTGCCCGGGAATCATCGACCCATAATTCCCAAATCCATAGCTACGGGTTAAGTAGGAAGCCCGAGTCCATCGCTAACATCAAGTATATACGTACAGTGGGCCGTGGTCATGATGTCAGGGGCATAGGTAGTGGTTGGGGGCTGTTGGGTAGGGTAACTCTCTGTGAGTCTTGTTGACCTTTCCTGTTGACCTTCTGGCACTACTAAACACCAGTCGGGTACCACGATTGATACCCGCATGGTACTGAATACGCTGACTCCAGCTTACGATTATGATGGCGCTCGAAATTTAATAATGCCGAGTTTCCCCACCCTCCGCTTTGATGGAATACATGAATTTCAGATTCTGATCTCCGGATTGCTGTATCGGACGAATCCCACTGCATGCCTCCGCTCTGTTTTCTTATACCGACTCAGATTGTAACCTACAGGTTACCACCCGGGTGTGTTTTCTAACACTAATTTGGATTCCAATCTCAAACCACGATATTCGCAATACTTTCATCCCAATATGTGAGTGATGATCTACGACTAACTATCCATATTCTGTATTGTTGCAGTCTGGTCTTCCATCTCGTATTGTTAGTGTATGACAAACTTACTAATAGGGTGAATTAATTCTATTAACTCACCGGATTATTTTGTTCTGAGCAACAATCTGAAAGTTTTAGAAATGTGTCGATTTTGTTGCAAAATCGTGAACTCTGAGCCACCAACAAATTTTCAAATACCAATATTCTCCATTAGCAAAAGACCGGTTTCCCCAGGTGGAATATGCATGCTCAGATCTCCAAATTCATCTCTAATGAATAAAACCTCTTCTATTGCTCACAAAACCTCTTCCCACTGGCATCAAAATATTACACTTTGTCTTTTGACGCATAATAAGTATATGAAATATGATAGATTCTATTTTAATACTGATCTGGCGTTTGAAATAAGATATTTTGACTTCTATTGCCTAGTCAGCATCCTAAGTATGACAACACATCTGTTGATACCCCGCCGCCTCCTAAAACGCAACCTATCGGGGCGAATCTGACTAAATCCTATCGCTAGCCCTGCCCTCGGTAGCAAAGTATATCAAATTTGATATTCGAGGATCCCCACCTGCTTACCTACCTGCCTAGCTGCCTATCTCCTGCCTACCTGCATACTATCTGCCTACCTTCTCCTCGATACCTTCTTCAACAGCTGACTTATACCAGGATCGATACTAAGCTCCTATTAGCATCAACACCTACCTACTACCTTCAGCAATGCCTACATAATAGCTGCAGTGATGCCTAACTCTTATCTTCAGTGATGCTTACTTCCAATAGCAGCGACTTCTACCCTCTACCTCCAGCCATGTCTTTATATGTATTTATCTACCTATGATTTGACATCTGTACTGACCCCGAGACAGACTGCCAAATAGCAGTAAATTGTCATCCAGATTGAAGCCCAAATTGACACCTAAAATGACACCAAAATGTTGATTAATTGCACCAAGTCGAAAACTAAATCAGCATCAAATGTATGCTTAAATCTAGTCTCAAATCAACGACTGACGGTGAACAAAATTATACTCAATTCTGATGTGGTGAACTTAGGGTTAAGGTTAGCCTCCCCCCATCCCCAAGGACACGGAGACCCCCTATAGTATGCAGTTCTACGTGCCGTACAGTCCCTTTCAGACACTTCTCCTTTGATATATAGGGAACGTACGGTTGACTTGCTTTTGCCTCCTAGAACAAGCGTCGTGAGGCGTTTGTTTTACCTGTATGGATGCATTGCGTCCTGACCGAAAGCAAGTTTGCACCTGCAATACATACAAATTTGCAAGGGTTCACTACTTTCTCAAGTATAACTCTCACCTCCACAGCCTACACATTCATAGCCCGGGCTTGCACCACCCACTCTCTGCCAACAAATCTAGATCAGTAAAAAGCAATGGAGTCATATATAATTAGCTGTCAACGGTGCACTAATCCCACTAATCTGGGCTCTCCATGCTCCCTGTGGTTTTCACCTACCATGGTTAACCAATCTCTGAGATGACCAATCATGCTTTGCTTATTTGGGTGATCTGAAATACAATATATGCCGTAACCTAGTTCTGATTCCTTGGTCAGTGGCGAATGATATCAAATTTTACAGAATATACTGTGAGGATTCCCCATTCATACCTCAGCTGTTGGTACCTTACCTGCTACTTTGATTACCACCTTCTGCTTGCATCTACTATTAGATTTAGATAACTTTACGAAAACCGATGTAGGAACCAAAGCAATGGCTAGATCGAGTCCCAAATAGCTGTACAACGGAGATTTAATTGACATCTACTTGGTGCCAGATTGTGTACTAAATTACCCTGTATCAATAGCAAGTAGGCACCATATTGTACACTAACTCAAGTAACACGCCGGAAACGTAAATTTTTACAAAACTGCAACAAAACAAAGCTAAATTGAGGGGAGGGAGACATCAATGCCAGCACAATAGAAAGACCACTTTAGGAGCAGTTAAACAAAAGTGGTCAGCCACCTAGGGTTAGTCAGGGTTAGTTAGGGTTAGTTAGGGTTAAGTTAGGGTTAGTTAGGGTTAAGTTAGGGTTAGTTAGGGTTAGTTAGGGTTAAGTTAGGGTTAGGGTTAGTCAGGGTTAGTTAGGGTTAGTCAGGGTTGGTTAGGGTTAGTTAGGGTTAGTTAGGGTTAGTTAGGGTTAGTTAGGGGTTAGTTAGGGTTAGTTAGGGTTAGTTAGGGTTAGTTAGGGTTAGTTAGGGTTAGTTAGGGTTAGTTAGTTAGGGTTAGTTAGGGTTAGTTAGGGTTAGTTAGGGTTAGTTAGGGTTAGTTAGGGTTAGTTAGGGTTAGTTAGGGTTAGTTAGGGGTTAGTTAGGGTTAGTTAGGGTTAGTTAGGGTTAGTTAGGGTTA